GAGAAAAGGTTGAAATTTTCAAAGATATGGTCTAGCTTTGACACACAATCAATGCTAATGCTCAAAGCAGGAGCAGTCAAGAGATCAAAAGATGTGTTGTGCTGGGTAAATCAGCTGCACAAGACCTTTTTAGAGTATTGAAGATATAGGGTGTTACTTTGAGGCCTAAGGTATGCCTGACCCAAGCCATGGTGTTCTCCATTGCCTCATACACATGTGAAAGTTAGATGTTGAATAAGGAAGACCGAAGAATGGATGCATTTGAAATTGTGGTGTTGGAGAAGAATATTGAAAGTACCAGGGACTGCTAAAAGGACATACTGATCTGTTCTTGGAAGAAGGCCAGAGTGCGCTTACAGGCAAGGATGGCAAGACTTTGTCTCACATACTTTAGACGTGTTATCAGGAGAGACAGGTACCTGGAGGAAGGCCCTCAATGAGATGGACAGACACAGAGGCTGCAACACTGAGCTCATATTTTGTGAGGATGGTACAGGACTGTGCAGTGTTTTCCTCTATTGTAATAGGGTTGCTATGGGTTGGAGCTGCCCTGATGGCACCTCACAGCAACAGCAGCCTCTGTGTCAGTCACTATTCTAGATTTTCAATGGGGAAGGACTAGCCAAGTCCTTTTGTCCAAAGAACAGAAGAATCGGTCCTAGCAGCCTGCAACTTGTCAAGAGAGTGTGAAATCCTTCCCGGCTTAGTGAGGAACAGGGGCAGAGCAGGCCTTACCAGATTGGAAGGGTCCACCTCCACAGACTTGCCGGCCTTCACTGGGCACTCCACGTATTCATAGGCGTGCTCCTGGTGGGTGGGTACCAGCGGGGCCATGCCCTCAATGGCGGCTTCCCGTGGCTCTGTGCTCACTGGACAACCTGAGATAACCCACAAAGAAGGGTGTCACAAGGCAGGACACCGGCATCACCCCAGGCTCACCATCCCAAATCAGAGCGCCATGGAGTCATTCCAACGCAAAATGACCCTGGGGACCTGAGGAGCTGGGTGGTCAGAATACACTACATTTGTCCTTCTTCAAGGTCACAGGGTTTTCATCAGATTTGCCACTTACTAGCTGTGTCATTTCCTTGACTGTAAAATAGAAAACCTAGGATGCCAGACTCTGTGGACTAGAATATAAGGTCCAGAGGAGCCCTGGTGGCGCAGTGATTAAACGATGAGCTGTGAACTAAGAGGTCAGTGATTCAAACTCATCATCCACTCCATGGGAACAAGAAGAGGCAGTCAGCTTCCACATGGCTGACGGCCTTGGAAACCAGGTGGAACAGCACTACTCTGTTTGATGGGCTCACTGTGAGTTGCAACCCACTAACAGCAAGGGGTTTCATTTGGGTTTGGCTGGTGTGAACAACTACCCTGCAAAATCACAGTAGGGCTCTGGAAACACTACATGCTGCTGGCCCCTCCCCTCCCAGGCCAGACAGACTCTAGACATCTGTGTATACAATCTAAAGCAGACCCAGACCCTTAAATATGAAAGCCATTTCACTCTGCCCGTAGAGAACGGACTGCAAGTCCACCAGGTGCTGATTGTGGGCAGAGCAGGGAGCACCGGCGTCTGCTAGGATGGCAACATTTCCAGCAGGGTGGTCACCGTCTGGGGCTAATTATTCAGTGTGAGGCACCCTGGACACTGGAGGAGGTCGCACAATCTCCTTGACCCATCAGATGTCAGTAACACCATTTCATTCAGCTGTGACTCAAAAAAATGCCTCCCAATGGCGCAAAATGTCCCCGGGGGACCCCATCACTCTGGCTGAAAACTACCATGTACACAGTGATCAACTGCAGAGGTGGGAGCTAACTTTTGGGACAGTCTCAAAGTGTCAACACTGGCCAAGACACTTTTAATCTGCATCTCAATGGATCCTCTTAATAACCCTTTAAGACAGTATCACCGTGTCCCCATCTCACGGCTGGTGGGCAGGCATACCAGAAAGACCTGTCTAAATGCCACTTGGCACAAGAGACCAACAAAGACTGACTCACGCTTAGGGCCCCATCCATCACCAGCATGCTGTACTGCCTCTTGTAATCACTGAGAATTCTCTGGTCTTTAGTTCCTGGGCAGTCCCTTACCTGTCATTTTCCCTTCATGCATCGGGCATCCTGAAGGTGGGGATGCTGTCTGATGATCTGAAGCATTTGAGGTGTGCACAGCCACAGCAGGCTTCGATAGGGGCAAACCCATGGCTGGAACCACAGGGCTGACTCGAAACGATTCTAAATAGACACAGACACACCACAGCAGAGACACAAATTATACCGTCGATGCCTCAACTCAAACTACTGCTTTCTTACTCATCATCTGGCCAACCGTGTTCTGCCTACTGTGCTCTTGGTGGGGACCCGCAGGCAAAAAAGCCACCTGAGAGAATCCCTTAGAATATACCACCCCATGGGGACACGTTTGTAGGGGTGGGCGGATTTGGAAGCCGAAGGTGAGGAGGTCTCTGCGAAAGAGGGAAACCACATCCCCACAGAGAGGCGTTCTGGATAGGGGAAGGGGACCCACCTTGCCAAGCCCCTGGCCTCAGGGCTGAGGTATCACGGGAGGGACACAAAGTTGTGGCGTGACGCAGAGAAAAGGAGTCAGGGCAAGAAGGGGCAACGGTGGCAGGGGGGCGGCCGCAGTCTTCCTTGCAGGGTCCACGGGACTCCAGACCCCCACCGGCCCTCCCCCTCCCCACCTCCCCGGGCTTCTCGGAGCGGCTGGCTCCGCCTCACACCGCCAACCCACGCCCAGAACAGCAGTAACCCGCCGCGGCCGCCACCTTCCCTCTACCGGTCACCGCTAACGCCTCGGTCACAGCCGGTGCCCGTTCGTCCCGCCGCTTCCTTTTCCGAAGGCGGGACTTCCGGGCGCGTGGACACGGGATCGCCAACTACAAGGCGGGACATCCGTTACCCGCCGCTAAGCAGGCCCCTCCCTCTGCCACAGTCGACCTATTAGCACGAGGGCCCGCTTTCTGGCCCCGCCCTCGCGGCCCCGATTTGCTCACGCCCCACAAATGCAACTTCCGGAGACTTCCTGAGGGAGGCGGTCTGCTCTGTAGGCTGTAAGTGGCAAGGCGGCTTGCTTTGCAGGAACTTAAAAATAGGATTCGGTTAGAGTGGATGTCTGGAGAAACGACCGATTCTGGACATCTGTAAAGTCGCAAAACAGGCCCTGTCCTTTAAACCCGACCTAGCTGGGTGTGTGGACTCGAATTTAAAAAGAAAAGGAATAAAATAGATATTCTCCAGTTTCTGAATGTAGACAATAAAGCCCAGTAGTGTTAGCTCTGTGGCACCAGTAGAAATTACAGATATGTAGATGATGGTTGGGTCCGCTTCCAAATACCGTTCATTACACAGGGAGTAAGGCAGTTGGACCTTGTGAGGAGACCTGATGGCTCTGGTTACACATACCACAAGGTCAGCAGTACAAACGGCAAGAGAAGGATGAGGCTTTCTACTCCTGTAAAGAGTCTTTGAAACTCAAAGGGGCAGGCTTATTCTGCCCTATAGGGTCCCTATAAATCAGAATGGACTCGATGGCAATTTTATTTTTGTGTGTTTTAAGTCACCGAGTGTCACAAATAGCTCAACTAGTGCTTGATTGCAATCTAGTCTTGTTTCACAGAATTGCATGTAGCTCCCATAATCCTCTTTTTCTCTTTGCAATCCCATAATTGTCTTTCATTCCCATGTCAATGTTGTTTCCCAGAATTGGTTGTTTCCCACAATTCCCTGTTTATTCCACAATACTCTTCTTATTAGGCCAGATTGACTAGTGCAGCAGTTCTCAACCTGTGGATCATGACCCCTGTGGGGTTTGAACGACCCTTTCACAGGGGTCACCTGATTCATAACAGTAGCAAAGTGACATTTAGGAAGTAGCAACAAAAATAATGTTATGGTTGGGGGGGGTCACTACCACATGAGGAACTGTATGGAAGGGTTGTGGCATTAGGATGGTTGAGAACTGCTGGACTAGAGAAACAAATACAGACACTCATAGGTGTAAGAAAGCTTTTATATCAAGAAGCTTTATTTATCAGGAAAACATCCCAGTCTAGATCAAGTCCATAAGTCCAACTCAAGTCCACAAGTTCCTCTTCAGAGTCACATAGTCACAAACAGTGATACAGAATGCAGGCAGATCACAGGTTGGTGGATGCAGGGGGGGAGGGCATTCCCCAGGGCCCTCTTTATGAAAAGGCCGTGCCCACAAGGAGACACCATGAGGCACCTGTACACTTTTATATACCTTCAAGTTTCATGAAATTATGTAACTATCACATCTACATTCCCACAATTTTTTGTAGCTCTCACAATTGCTGGTCTCTCCCACAATTTAACAGACTCCCCAAACTTCTCGTCCCTCCCACAATTCCCTGATACTCCCATATTTCTCTCTTCTTCCCTACAATGCTTTCATTCACACTTCATTGTTCCCTTTCAAAAGCTAATGTCCCTTCCCCCAATTTTTTGGCTCTCCCACAAATTTCACTACTCCCCACGATTTTCCACTTTCTTCCACAATTCACACAATCCCCTTTCTCTTTCACAATTCTGGGTATATTCCACAATTCTGCATGTCCGACAATCCTCATAGTTCCCCACAATCCCAAGATCTTCCCATAAGTCACTTTTTCTCCCATAATTCTTTCTTACGTTCTACAATTCTATCTCTCCTACAATTCCATGTATGTAACACAATTCTCCACTTTCTCTCAAGTCTCTGTTCTCTCTTCCAAATACTCCATCATTCACAGGTTCCTGTCTCTCCTACTCTCTTCAGTCTTTCCCCAAATCCTCTGTCTCATAATTCTGCATTTTCTCCCATAATTTCTTCTCTTTTCCTCAGCTACCTGTTCCAGCACATTTCCCAGAGTTCCCTTTCCTCCTTCAATTTCCCTGCTTTCCCATAGTTTCTCCCCACCCACACACACACAATTTCTTATCCTCATCCACATTTGTCATAATTTTCTGTGTCCCAGTTCTCTGTTCTTTCCTCTACTTCCTCGCTTCATTCATCATTCCCTGTTTATCCTACAACTCCCAGCAATTCCCTTTCTCCCCCACTTTCTTGTGTCTCCACACTCCTCTAATCTCTCTCACTCATGCTTCCCTCCATTTCTAGTCTTTCCAGCAATTCCCTTTCTCCTACAACTCTCCCACAGCTCTCTTTTCTCTTCATCAATTCGCGGTTCTCTCCCCAAATTCCCTGTCTCTCCTATAAGTCTTGGTTTTCTTTCAAAATTCCCGCTCTCTCGGGATTCTTCATTCTCTCATCTCCCATGTTTTTCTTTACCCCAAAAATGATCTGTTCTCTCCCGAGTTCTCCATTCTGTGGAAATAGACAACAGCAACATAAGCACAGACAATAGCTAGTCATTCAAACTTGGAATTGCAAGGGAGCTACCACTACTGGGTTGGGCCAAAGCAAAGGCAGGCAGCAGAGTGGGGAAGTTTCCTCGTGGAAAACAGGAAGGGCATCAGGCATGCCCTGATTGGCGGCTGTCAGCATGGGGAGGCGGAAGGGGCTGAGGGCTGACCTGAACCCATGGCATTGGGTCAGTGAGCCTAGGTGACTTCCCTAAATTGGAAGCAGGGGCAACAAGAAGGAGGCCATTGATGGCTAAGACCTGGCCCTTTAGACCCATGGTGACTGAGGTGGGTTAGTTTCCTGGGCTGGACGCCGCAGATGGGGACTGACTCCCTGGGCTGGTGCTGTAGGCTGGGGGGCAGACTTGTATTTCTCTCTATGCTCGCCTCAAACTCGGTTTGAAAACTCAGTCTCAGGGCTCTCCCACCATTCTCCATTCTCTCCCCCAAATCCTTTGTTTTTTTGTATAACCCCTGCCTCTCCCACCAGCCTCCGTTATTTGCCACAATTTCTCAGAAGAGCCTTCCCTAGGTGCCTCTGGGCTTCCCCAGGACCAGGGCCTGCAGGGCTGCCTCACAAAAGCGCTGCCAGAGCAGCTTGAACTCAACGGAGCGATCCAGGCCTGCATGTGAGCATTGTGGAACTAAAGGTCAAGGCCCTTAGCATGGGAGGCCAGGTGGAGCAGGGAGAGAACATTACAGAGAATAGGGCAGTGGTGGGGCAGGCAGTGCGGGCACCTGCAAGGGGGCGTGGCCATAGCAAAGTGCTTGAATTAGGCAAGGCAGGAGAGACTGGTTCCTAAACAGCTCTGGTGGCACAGGTAGAACACAACACTCTCTCCCCCACACCAACCAACCAAACAAAAACCAAGTGGCCTTCGGGTGGACAGCAATTCACATCTACCTGGTGTGCGGCAGAGCAGAGCTGTGCTCCACAGGGTACTCAATGGCTCATTTTTTGCAAGTAGAAAACCAGGCCTTTTCTCCCCAGCATTTGCACCTCCAACCTTTCAGTGCAGTGACTGTTTTCATTTCCCGGGATCCCTGGGCCACCACACAGGATGCCAATGCTCTGCTCTTTCCCACAGTGACCTATTGATCTCACACCTCTCTAGGATAGTGCTTGGCACATCTGCCATTGTGTGTTCAACTGTGTGCTTGTCTGACCTACCTATGAGTTTTTTGAAGTTGAAAATATTATCTTATTAGGCTTTCTATGCCCCTTTCTTCTTCTATTAAGAAAGTTTTCCCATAATAAAATAAAATAAGGTCGCCTTAACTAAGTACTCTTTAAAGCAGTGGTTCTCAACCTGTGTGTTGTGACCCCTTTAGGGATCGAACGACCCTTTCACAGGGTCGCCAAATTCTTAACATTAGCAAAATCGCAGTTATGAAGTAGCAACGAAAATAATTTTATGGTGGTGGAGGGAGGTCACCACCACATGAGGAATTGTATTCAAGGGTCTGGGCATTAGGAAGGCTGAGAACCACTGCTTTAAAGCATTGAAAAGCAAACGTCTCTTTGAGGACTAAGGTATTCTCAGTGACCTCATCTACATGTGAAAGTTGGACATTGAATAACAAAGACTGAAGAAGAACGGATGCATTTGAATTATGGTGCTGGGGAAGAATACGGAAAGTACCATGGACTGCCAAAAATACAAGCAAATCTGTCTTAGAAGAAGTTTGGCCAGATTACTTCCTAGAGGCCAGGATGGCGAGACTTGATCTCATGTACTTTGGACCTATTGTCAGGAGAGACCAGTAGAGGGGTAGCGAGAAAGAGCACCGACCCTTTGCACCATGCAGGGACCCTGCTTATGAATAACTGCCTTTAGTTGGGTGTTGGGTGTCACTGCATGTCTTTCTCTAACCTCTAGATGTTCACAAGGCAACGCTCTGAAGGAAAAAAAAGATGTTCTGATATACAGCCAAACCTGCCTAAGGCTAGACCCTCCTTGGTAACTGCCAGAGGGCGGGCATACACTGTGCCTGCTACAAGGCCAACTCAACAGTGATCACCATCCACTGGTGATGCCAGCCTGGAGCTGCCCAGGAATTGAAGCCAGATTCAGAAGAGGGTCTGGCACGAGTAATCTCATTGCTGACCTCCGATGGATCTTTCCTGAAAGCAAAGACTATCAGAAAGAGGTTTACTTGTGGTTTATTGACTATGCAAAGGCATTGGACTGGGTGGATCCTAACAAAACTATGCATAGCATTGCAAAGAATGGAATTCCAGAACACTCAACTGTGCTCATGCAGAACCTGTACAGAGACCAAGAGGCAGTTGTTCAAACAGAA